ATTAGATTTAATTTTCGTGTAAGTATCTGCGATTTTATATTTTTAAGGTAAACTAGCCCTAAAATTTCTTCACAAACTCTCTGAACCTCCACCAAAAATGAATTTCTCGCATAGAACTGCATTTTGGTATGTAATATCAATCACCAGAAAAAAATTCAAAGCTGTGCCTTCAAAAAAAAAAAATTTTTTTTTTTTACTCGAAAGTGAAAAGTTCTGTAGAATTCCCCATATATTAATAGTAATCGTGGACAGAATGGCCTATTATAATATTTGCAATTGTTTATTAAAAGTTAAAAAACATTTTATCTTAAATCTGATTTATATTCCGTTTTACATATTCTGTTTTATTACACATCTTACAGGCTTTCCAGACACTTACATTGTTGGTGGAAAGGACGCACCGGTCGGCAAGTTCCCATATCAAGTATCTCTGAGAAAATCCGGACGTCATGCCTGCGGTGGATCCATCATTAATCATTATACCATTCTCACTGCCGGTCATTGTTTAGCAAAGTATATTCTTTATTCCTGTTTTATATTATTCATACATGCACCTATGAATAAGATATAATTACATTTGTCATTCTAAGAGAACAATGTTTAAAATAAGGTAGTTCCTTTTGCCTACAAATCGATTGCCTATAGCATCGTTTGCCTACATTACTTTTACCGACAGTTCGTTTGTGCATAAAAACGAACTGCAAACGAACTGTTTGCCTACAGTGTAGGCAATCGATTTGTAAGCAAACGGGATCTTCCCTTTAAAATCATCTGAGAAGTAATCGATTAAAATATTTTTAACAGCTACCGCCTCATGCCCGATACTCTCAAATCGTTAACTATTCACGCCGGCACAAATCAGCTAAGCGAAAATGGTACTGTCTACAAAGCTAAACAAGCCATTGTTCACGAGGCTTTCAATTCTAGTAGATTAGTCAATGACATCGGTTTACTCATTCTATCGACTCCAATTGAATATACCAAATATATACAGCCTATATCACTTGCAACTACCGACATTGCTCCCAGTGGCTCTTACTGCATCTTATCTGGATGGGGAAGAATTAGAGTAAATATCAAACAATAATTATTCCATGTAACAAGTGTAGGCTCAACTTTAATATTTATCAAATATTTTTTAAAAAGTTAGAAAATATAAAAGTTAGTGTAAAAAATTGATATTACCTTAAATTAATCTACATAGCACATTTTAGTGGGCGTCTTGGGAATATCTTTAGAACGTAGTAATATCTTCCAAATATCTTTAGAATATTAATTGAAAACCTATGAAAATAAGGAATAATTACATTATTTTCTTATTATGATTAAATATTGTTCACAATAAATGGAAAAAGTTCTTAAAATTACTTACATACACATAAAAAATATAAAACTACATAATAATAACTCAAGTTTATCTTGTAAATTTCAAATTCTTCATTTATTTTAAATTAATAGAGAAATTCAATAAATGCATACACACGCACAAAAAAAAATAATGTTCGATATAAAAATATTAATGCTTGAATTTATAGAAAATTTTTTATTTACTCTTAGATCGGTGGTATAATTCCTGACAAGTTACAAGAGATTGAATTAACTGTTTATGACCAATTTAAATGCCAACTAATACAAAGGAGAGTACGATCTAATCACATTTGCACACTCACCAGAAAAGGCGAAGGCGCGTGCTACGTAAGTATTACTTTTTATTATCTCAAATATCGCATAAAACAAAATGTAATAAACGAAGATAGTATTCCTCCCTCGTTGTTTATCTCTTTAATGCATATGCATACAGAGATTTTAGATTCTAAGATATAAACATCAAAAATATCTAATAGAAAATATTATAATTTGCGATTTTATTTATACAAAATACATAAAATTATAAATTTCAAAGTTATCTATTAAATCTACAATATATATTAATAAATATGATCTCAGAAAAAAAACATCTGCAATATAAGACTAGATGTATAAGCAATATAAGTAATTATATCAGAATTTTTTATAATAATTAAATGTGAAGCGTGAATAATTAAATTAAATAAAAACTCGATTTGTAATAAATAATCAAACGTTATCCCTATTAAATTTTCAGGGAGATTCCGGTGGTCCTCTTGTTTCTAATGGTGTTCAGATTGGTATTGTCTCTTTTGGTACACCATGTGCTCGGGGAAGACCCGATGTATATACTAGAGTGGCCTCTTTCACGGAATGGATTAAAAAATATATTATCCAATAATAGGACAAAACAAAATATGTCTTAAGCAATAATAAGTGATACAATATTAAGATATATTTTATACACATATATTATTATTTAAACGTATTAATATTCTTTATTCCACAAATATTGCATAAATTTATTTCATAAACCGTTTAACAAGTCATATGATAAATAATAATTATAATTATGTGTGTGTATAAGAAAGAGAATTTGAAATAATTTTTGATAATTACTCAATGTATAAATTTTTAATTAAAAATTGAAAAATTATTTTTATGCGTTTTATATTAGCTTAACAATATTTTTATTTAAATGCGATAATTATTTGAATGAACACATTGCTTAAATAATACATTCAAATAACGCTTTGACAATCAAAAACTGATTTCAATATAAATTATCTCTCTGAATAGCACAAAACAGAAAAGTATCCAAATGTTTATAAAAAACATGCGAAGCCACATTACGAAATATCTAAATATATACTAAAAATATATTTATCACAGTAAAAAATCACAATAAATGTAAAAATATACATTATATATCAACAATTATTATTTATTACTTATATTATTAAATTTTTTTAATAGCATTTATTTAAAATAAATAGGTACAAATAAAACTATCATTCTGAAATAATGGAATTCTTTGAGAGTGAAACAAATAAATATAAGGAAAAAATAATTAAAAAACTAATAATTATGTCTTTAATAAACCTAATACATTATTTTAACAATATTTTCTTAATATTTTTATAAATACTTAATAAAATAATTTCTAATCAATTTAATAAAGTTGTCACAGGAATTGATAACAAAAACCATATAAAAATTCACGTGTCACCCAAACATGATTGACAAAGCAATCAAAGTACTAAATATAATATTCATGATTTCAATACAGTATTTATTCTCGCAAATAACTCTTATATTGAGACATTATTAAACTTTTATTTATTTAAATCTTATTTATAAATAAATTCCTTATTCTTAATTTTTATTTATAAATTTATTTATCTGTAGATTTGTAAACAGATTTGTAACTCTTTATATTATAAAATTCATTTATATAATACTTTACTTTAACAGTAAGGAGTTTTCACAATACTGTTTATCCAGATACGGTGAACGCTAAGGTCAAATTCTTCTTCTTAACAACTAATTAAGAAAAGGATAACTTTAGCGTTCACCATATCTGGATTAACGTTATTGTAAAAACTCCCTAATATCGTAAATTATCGGGTATAGTAATCGATATACGCAAATCAACTATGACTATGTGTACTTTATCAGATAATCCAATAAATCCTAATTGTTTTAAGAAAAGATGTTAGTAAAAACTGTAAATTTAATTATTACTTTTATGATTTAATAAGTACAATGTAAAATATAATTAACAATTGTAGGAAATCAGGCAAATAAGGGTAAACATAATGAGCAAAACTTACACAAATTTATAAATAAATTATATCTGATTTGCTTTACAATTAAAATATTTCGGCCACATTTGGGTCCGTACACATCCAGCGAAGTACAAGTATTAGAAAAAAAAATATTCACACTTCCGTCTACCAGACAAATCCCCACTCAACTGCATAATTTTGTTTCGCCGTGGTCCAATGCCCATAATTCACAGAAATTTGCAATTGCCTAAAGCGTGATTTACACGGAGCGACTTTTATTCGTTAGAAATCGCGTCTAGTGACGTCATAGAGAATTCGCTACTAAAAACTTCTTCTAGACGCGAGTTTCTTCTTATAACACATAGTCGCGGCGAATATCGCTTTCGACGCTTGTCGCTAGTTTGTCGCTAGCTTGTCGCTAGCTTCTTGCTGCACTTCCAAAGCGAGTTTTTAAGTCGTCAGTGTGAATAGACGAATTTTTCCGAACCATCTCGGTCACTCAGACCATAAGCATCACAGAATAATCATGTCATCGAATGACATACTTCGAGCCGCTGTTGTGCTTTGTGCTCAACTATTCGCTTGATCACTAGCGACCACTCAACGCTGCGACTTCAAAATTTTAGTCGCTATAGCGAATAAAAACCAAGCGTGTAAAAGAAGCTTTCATCAGCGAATTCACTGACGAATTAAGAAGCTTACTTCAAGCGAATAGCAGCATAGTCGAGAGAATTCGCTGGCGAATTAATGACGTTACTAGACGCGGCTTCCAGCTAATAAAAGTCGCCCGTGTAAATCTTAAGAAGTATTAAGAATTAAAAATAATGCCAGCTAAAGAAGAAAGCCTCATCTGAAGAACAACACTGTAAAATACACAAATCACATAAGATTAAAATTTAGTAATAATTCTATCTATACACATGCGTGATTAAGTTAGTGTCTGATTTAGACTGTTTATTTGTAATTTAATAAATATCATTTCGGATGTCAGACGTTAATTCCAAAATCTTTCAGAGAAATCTTCACATTAGACCAATCAAATTTGTGATATAATGCAACCTATGATTCGTGATTGGTAAAATAATGGTAAAATATGGCATAACATTCTTAATTGGCTACAGCAGCCAATTTTTGGTTGCATTAGCCAATCGAAATCCTGTACTGACATTGCGGATAGACTAACACATTGAAGCAACAAAAAATTGGCAATTATAGCCAATTAAAAATGCTATGCCATATTTTACCATCTAATTTGCTGCAACAGCCAATCTTTGCTTTCAGTGAAGTAATATTGTTTACGACATCTAACGTAAAACGGAAATGAAAGTCTCGACGTTCTAAGAGCTCTTGCAAAACTGAGTCAACAATAACCGAAGATAAGTAAAATCCTATCGGCAAATAAAAAAAGTTTGCAGGTATATATTATTATCAATCTAGAAAAATGACGAGTTTAGAACGAGTTAAAGAATAGTAATAAATTCATCTTTTCAGATATTACAACCCTTAAAAATGTCCGACTATCTACTAGAAATAATTTCCAATGGTAACTCAATCGGCACATTGTGAAGAATGAGATAACATCTAACTAGATTAAGATGTAATTTATGACTATGTGTATCAGATAATAGTAGTATAACGATATTTTATCATATGATATCGCATTGAGAAAAATTCTGGAAAACGTCACAAACGCAAGACCTATATCTTTGTTACAACTACATCAGGAACATATATAAACCTTTGAATGCATCTATTCGTTTCAATATCGGGCAACAAATCTGCAATCAAAGATGCGTGTATTCGCTTGTTTTATATTTGTCGTTCTGGCATACGCCACTGAAGGTATGAATTTATCAGGAAATGGCAGAATTACTTTTCCATTACTTTTACAGTTACTTGGTACAATAACAATTTTTCATAATAATTGCAATTTTTTATAACTGTAATGATGACTAAATAAAGCTGAAAATACGCTAAGAAAAGTCACTTTGAAAAGTAAGTTGTCACCATTACTTACTGAAATTTTATTACTTATTATTGGAAAAAGTAACAAGTAACTAGTAATGCCGTAAACTAATTCCGTTACAAATTACATTAAAAAGAACGAGATGCAAATTGCGAGTTATCTTTTTCAGTAACAAATTACTTTATTTTCAATTCGTAATAAGTGACTATTAATTGTTTCAACTCTGGTGTTACATGAGGTCTGTTTTTTATTCCTGCAATCTCTGAACTGGTGCACATGGTGCAATAAGTTGAAGTGAAATAAATATATGTTTGCTTCACTGTATCTTATTGCACTGTATGCGCTAGTTCAGAGAGTGCAGGAATAAAAAACGGATCTATTATCAACATATAACATTCGCAACGTTATTACCAGATCGATATTACAACAAGGAAACTAAGTAAATAACAATAAATAACGACATTTACAATAACTATAATTATTCTTCCATTATCTGGAAATATTATTTCCATGTACTTTATAAGTTATTATATAACTACTTTATGAGAAAGAAAATGAGGAAGAGAGAGAGAGAGAGAGAAAGAATGGAAGAAAGAGAATTAAATATGTCCGATAACATGTGCTGGATGTAGCATCAATATATTGGTCAACATGTCGGGTTACTATGGGATAAACTAGGGTATTATGACCATACGGAAAAGATGGCCATAGGCCATAATTTCTCCAATAATTGATAAATAGTGCATTTTTATAGTCATTCTTAAAGATAATCAATATTTATAGTAGTTCATATGAGTACACTGTTCAAAATAACAATATTATAAATACTATCTAATATTTTTCCTTTCGACTATCTGCAAAGTTTTGCACGCGTGTCTGCTAAAAACTGTTATAATATAACATATAATTTAATTTATTTATAAATGCTATGGCTATCTTTCTTAATATCATGGCCATCTTTTCCCTCAAAATCAGATAAGATGGCCAATGCATTATACTTTGTAATATTTTGATAAAATTAAAGTTCTGTTAAGTATTTTCTCTTTAATTTCGATAGTATTTGTTACTTTAAGCTTCAGTGAAAGTAATACCCCAAATATTGTTAAAAAGTAGCAAGAATAAATGTATGTTTTTTGCATTTTAAAAAACTGTGGCCATCGTACCCGAGTTTACCCTATAAACGTATTATATAAATGACTCTTCTAACAACCATAACATTTATAAAACATAATAGATGAATCAATTTTATAAATGTGGTCGATTGACCATTGTCTGTAGCGTCTGCTACAGAAGACAATCTGACATACTGATTAATATGTTGATGCAACAAGCGGTACATGTATTAGCTTAATGCTGGAATTTATTGCAAATGTCATACAATTTTTAGTTTGGGTCCCTTACCTCAATAATCTGTGAGCAGTCTAAATGCCAATCGGTAGTATATTCCAGCACTGTATTAGTTATTACTTTCCAATATATTCAAAGTTTTTGATAATAACGATTGTCTGTCATTTATAGTAAGTTTTATCGTACATGTAAAAAAAACATATATCTAAAACGAATTAGAAGATTATAAATAAACAAATTAATAAATTATAATTAATTATGTCAACGAAAAGTATGTATACATCTCTTTGCATTCTTTAAATATGTGTAGTTTAATAAAAATTAATGTGAAATGAACAGTAAAGCTTTTGCTAGATATAAAAATTTCTATTCTAAATAAAACCGTAACTTCTCTAAACAACTAATGTAGTTATAAAATAAATACGATGTTTAATTGCTGAAATTAATGTATGTAAGATGTTTTCCAAGAAAAGACATAAATCAACACAAGAGTTATTTTATCTTTATTCAATATTTGGTGAGAGACAAATCGATTTGTATCTCTTAATGGAAAATTTTTATAATAATTTAACAGATATTATTTTGCACATGTATTAATATAATTGATTAATTTTTGTTGATAAGGAGCTCCTTCTATCGTAAGAAAGGATGCCCCTATTAACATTAAGGACGATAGTGAGGCTCCTATCGGCAAATTTAAGTATCAAGTGTCAATAAGAGGAAGCGACAGACACATATGCAGTGGATCTATTCTTGATGATTTGAATGTGTTAACTTCAGCAAAATGTGTTGAAGAGTATGTTGAATATTCTGAATTTTTATCAATATACATTATTTTTAGAATGTAAAACTAATCTTATTTGAACGTATTAAATAGACACATTGTATGAAATGTGTACATATACAATAAGCAAACTGCCAGCAGATATAATATCCAAACAAATCTACTGATAACAATTTGATAATAGATTTGCTTAGATAGTGCAACAAATTCGGTATCATTAACTTATTTAAATATTCATTCATCTTATATTTTGCTGGCAGAACTTAACTTATAATTTAACAGTAAATTGGAGGTTGATAGTAGAAACCGAACAGAGAAAGAGAGAGAAAGAGAGAGAGAATATTTTATTTCATTAACATTAAAATCGAATACGTTATTTAAACGGCAAAGCGTGTTTTGTTTCTGCATTCAGCCTTCTATCATATTCTATTAGAAGCTTCTGTTATATTTCTGTTGATACATATTCAACTGATAAAATACATAATAAATACTTTCAAAATCTGTTCTTAATAGATATGGATTTTTAATATTCTTATATACATTTTTATACCTAGGTTGAAGTGTTCACTTGATGAAATAAAGGTCCATGCCGGTACAAACTCTCTAAACAACACAGGATATCGTTATGACATAGAGACTATTAACATCCACCAAAATTACGACAAATTATTATGCTCTAATGACATCGCCTTGATTCACCTTAACGATTTTATCAAACGCAACGTACTAGTGTATCCGATAAGTCTTCCAAAATCCAATACAAATTACGAAGGCAAGCCGTGCACGTTATCCGGATGGGCAAATACAACAGTAATGTTAAACTTATTATACGAAAATTTTCCAATTATACATATTCAGGAAAGACTCTTTCTAAAAGTAATTTATTATTTCCTTTTTATATAAATGTAACAAGAAATTATAAGTAATAAGTGTAAGAAGATATTTTAATAATAGTAATCCTGCTACTGTTATTCGTTGTTCGATGCTCGATGTAACAATTAATGCAATTATCTTTTCTAGAATGTAAACTTGGAAGAAACTGCGTTGGTAGTTGATAAGCAAACAGAATGCGCGAAAAGTCACTGGGAACTGACAGCTAGCCATATCTGCACTAAAGCTCAAAACAGAACGGATGGATACAAGGTGAGCCGTCGATTATTAGTATGAAAAACAAATCAATTAAATATATTTTGATACAACATTAACAGATTATTAACATAAATGATTCTAATCTTTGATGCCATTCTATATCATGTTGTTACGTATCTATCACATAAATATTGTGTAAAAACATCTCATAGAAATAAAATGAATATAAAATTTTTTTTAAATTGAAACGCCAGACATTAAGAATAACGATATAAAAAGCAAATATATGTCATATGTTTATTAATAACAAAAGTTATAGCGTAGCAAAGTTACCTCATGTTTCTTCTACTTTACTACACTATAACTTTATAGTATATATTGGCATATATACTATTTTATAATATTAATATTTTCTTTAAAAATATATTGAAGATGTAAATATATGAATTTATGTTAAAGCAAAAATTTAATCGGCATATAATATTAAAAGATTCTAATTATATGCCGATTAAATTTTTGCTTTAACATAAATTCATATATTTACATCTTCAATATATTTTTAAAGAAAATATTAATATTATAAAATAGTATATATGCCAATTAAATTACTTACGTTTAAATGATAATAATAATAATTTGCAATAACAAGTAATTAATTACTACCATATATAATAGTTTTATATATCATTTTATATATCAGTATTTTTATATTAATCACATTTTCATTCAAGAATGATCTTGGTGCACCTTTGGTTGCTAATGGAATTCTAATTGGAATCGCTTCCTCCGCCTGTTCTGGAGAGCCAGATGTTTACACAAGAGTGGGCAGTTTCCTGTCTTGGATAAATGCAAATTTGAAGACTTAAGAGATATTTAATCTGTTTATTAAATAACATTTGATGTTACAAAGTTTATAATTTAAAGTAACAGTAATAATATAGTTTAAACAAGTTATTTCTGCGAAATGTATGCTCTTTTTTTCAATTAAATAAATTATTAATGTAAATAACAAAACAGTAACAATCATCAAAGTTGTTTTCATTCTAAGATTCTCAGTTACCCCGGTTAACCACAACGAATAATATCATTTTATATATATTAAATATTATACAAAATTGATAAATCTACATAATACCGTCATAAATAAGATCGATGAATTTAGCGAAGAAAAATTTTTTGAAAGATAAATATAAATAATAATAAAAAAAAATTCAATAAATAAATCATAAAAATAGATAAATTTGTTATAAATTTCAAAAATTAAAATGGACATGACGCATAAAGTTAAATATTTACAGGTAATTTTCACAGTAAGATGTCTTATACAAATAGGATTCCAAATTACATATTTCTCATTTACAATGTTAATACAATAATTTCTAATCTAGTAAATAACCCAAGCAGCAAAACAGGGCATCCTGACCAATCCAAAGCAAAATTGCCCTAATTAAGACAATAATGACTAAATTTCGACCTAAAATATGTCATAAAAGTAATATTATATTTGAGGTTTTCTTCGCAGGTAAAAATTACCTAATTTCAACATATTAATGTTTTCAAAGTCCATTTGCGTTTAAAGTGTTCTTGATAGGTAAAAAATTACTTAATTTTGATCTAGTAAATTCTCTCAGAATCTGGTAATGATTAATAAGTTTCTGAGGTTATAAATTACCTAATATCGAACTGTATTTATGCCTTCAAAGTCGAATAGACTTTCAAGTTGTCAAAATAAGGTAATTATTGACTTAAAGACATTCGTTGATATTTCAATGATGTCACTGCTAACTTCGAAGTCGAGATTACCAAGGAAAGTTACCTATTAGGTAAATTTAGTCAACACTTGATCCAAATGACCAACAAAATTGACTTCAAAGTAAATTGAACCAGTCTTGCCCTAAAAGTCCATATAACCCTGTATGTCAATTTTGAGTCTTCTACTTCACATGCTTGTTTACAAGCATCCGACAATTCGTTGCTAGGCAATGCGCGGCAAGAAGAAGAACAGTGGGTGTCGCCAACGAAATCGAGCCGAAATGTGCAACTAAATCCCAGCTCTGATATAACAAAATCGAA